TCAACATGAGCGTGAGTAAATGATGACAGAATTTTCATTTTTGGGTGAACTATCCCTTTAAAGGTATTTTGGAGAGATGTTTAAGATAATGTTTACCTCCCTAGTAATCTCAATATTGTCTACTTGCTCCTTTGTGGCCACTTTCATCCTGTGCAGCTCGTGCTGCAGCTGAACCAAATCTCTTCCAAAGTGAGCCGCCATTCTCTGATACTCTTGCATGCCTTCAGGAGCCCTGAGCATACAAAAAATTTAAATGTACATGTCAAAATGCAAAGGATTAGTCTCAGGAGTACAGTAACACTATCATTTGTGTCATCTGTAAATATGGAAGTGGGCTTCAGGTTTTTTCTTACACTGTCTTTAATTAGCCTTCTGAACTGTAATAGATGCAGGAGCCAATAAAATCTCACCTCTCCCTGAAGGTTGGCACTGTGTAGGCTTGTTCTGCCATAGCCTTCGTGGCCTGGACCTGCTCCTTCTTCACTACCTGAGAGCTTGATTTCCTGCCATACAGATCAGAACAGCATTTGAGTCATGTTTCTATCGTGTGACGGCAGGTGTGAGCAGTCTGCTACATTTCACACGTGTGAAAGTCAGAATTTTACCTACAGAAGGATGAATTGCATTTATTGTAGTAGTATACAGTATATTTATTAAATAGTGTTAATTCTGTTTACATTTCTTAATTCTACAAATTAAATTCAGTTTTGTACCAAATTAACCCTTGTATAATATACAGATAATATAATATAAATGAAATTAAAAGCCACTTAAGTGTACTTAAAGCAAGTACACATTTATGATTTTTTAAAAAGTACACCTTGTAATAATGTCAAATTACAAGCTTAACTTTAAAGTACATTAATCTTTTTTGCTTTAATAGCACTCGATTATAATTTTAACTGTAGTGTGTCATTTGATATTACATTTGTGAATGTAAATATAAATTTACTAAATTGCAAATAAAATGTGTAATTAGAAATATATTTAAATACTAATTTCAATAGAAATGACATTAAAGTATAATTTAGTTTACCATGAATGCTTGTCGGTACATTTAGCAGTACACTTTAACCATATTTAAAAGACGCAATTAATTATGAAATTTCATATCAAGATGCCTTACCTATGGAAGGCTGTTTCTGCCACTGAATAAAAAATAAAAAAAGGTTATTGCGACTTTTTATCTCACAATTCTGACTTTTCACAGAATTGCGAGATATAAAGTCAGAATTGCGAGTTATAGAGTCAGAATTGTGAGATATAAACTCACAATTGCGAGTTATAAAGTCAGAATTGCGAGATATAAAGTCAGAATTGCGAGTTTGTGTTATAAAGTCAGAACTGCGTGATATAAACTCGCAATTGCAAGAAAAACGTCAGAATTGCGAGTTTATATCTCGCAGTTCTGACTTTATTTCTCAGAATTGCGACTTTATGTCTCGCAATTGCGAGTTTATATCACGCAATTATGAGAGAAAAAGTCAGAATTGTGAGTTTTGTATCACGCAATTATGAGAGAAAAAGTCAGAACTGCGAGTTTGTATCACGCAATTATGAGAAAAAAAGAAAAGATAAAAAGTCGCAATTACCTTTTTTATTTTTTATTCAGTGGCGGAAACGGGCTTCCATACTTACCCAAGTGGGTCCAAAAAATAAAATAAAAAATTCACTCCTAAGTTTAGCTTTTTGGATAAAAACGTCTGCTAAATCCATAAATGTAGATGCAGCATGTTTCAGTCAACAGCGCCAGCAAAGCTTTTAGAAAACCTGAAAATAAAATGACCAATGGCTTTGATTGTGTCTTCAACACTAAAGAAATTTTGAACGGTGAATAAATGGCCATGAATCATTTTTTTTAATACTTCTAAGTACTGTCTGGATCCGGATTCTCCTGTTTACTGCAAAATCTCTAACATTGATTTTTGAGGGCCAAGTTAATTAGAGCAACAGAATCAGTTCTGTAATGTATAGTAAGGTTTGGTAAAAGCGGATTTATTCATGCTTGTTAACCTAAACGCAACAGACCCAGCATTGAAGCAAATCTGACTCTTCACCCAAAATGTCAATACAAACCACTTTCTTTCTTGACAGCCGAAAAGCTTCCATGCGCCATGCTTCATATTTTCCTACTGTATGCAAAGCAATCTTTTCTCCTTCCTCACTACTGATGTATGACATAATGCGGAGTCTGTTTACAGCGCACACTAGCTTTGCTTACACATCTTAAAGTCTGAGTCTCCCATCAAGTCACTTAGTATTAGTGTAAGCGATCGCTGCTGTGCGTTTAGGGACAGATCTTCTGGCCCGCTGAAGCCTCTGAGCCAAACTCACGCCAAGGCTATCCATATGCTCGGCCATAACCACATCCCATACCTTGAGTGTTGGACAACATGTTTTGAGCTTTGATGTTGCGTTTGCTCCTGCCGATAAAGTGTAACGCCTCTCGCAGGCATGTCGGGAACACTCTGAAAAAGACCTTTTGACCACACCAATAATCATTGTGCAATCTAAATCACCTCTAAAATGGTTTATACGGGACAAAATATACAACTAAGAATGTTAGTTATGAATATGGCACATCTAGTGTTACTATTGGTTAGCATAATGTAATACACAAATACGTATAAAATGGTTTGATAGTTCAAATGACCTACATAATACAATAAATCAGCTTATAAACATACATACACTCCTAGATAAAGACCAAAACTGAATATTGCCTGCCCAAAAAAAATCAATATAACTACTGCTCTATGTTTTTAAGAGTACATTTTTACTTTTTTTTAAACTAGCACCAAAACTGCCTCTCCTCACATTCCAGCCCATCAGCAGCTCCATGAGCTCAAGTGCATCGCATTACAGGCAGAAAGTGAAAAGCTGACCTCACAATAACTGGCACAACTTATGGACACAAACATCTCAGTGCTACAAAAATCCGAGTGGGAGCAAAAGAATCTGAGCAAAATCCCTTAGATTTGACCTTTGACCCACACCTAATGTGACAGGCTGCTGTGACAATAAGGTCTCATGTAGAAACTAACAAACAAACAAAATTTGTGCAGTTCAGCATTAAACGAACTCTGAAAAGTACTTAAAAGTAGAACACAACCCATTAGAAAACTGATTTTTGGAACTAAAACATCAAAAGCCAAAAGTTAACACAACCTTTTTTAATTACCTAAAGTCCAGAATCACTTCAGCTCTAGGCACCAGAGTCTTTTAATGTTCAATAATATCTTATGACAATATTCAATTGAAATCGTATATGTGACCCTGGACCACAAAAGCAGTCTTAAGTCGCTGGGGTATATTTGTTGCGATAGCCAAAAAAATACACTGTATGGGTCAAAATTATAGATTTTTCTTTTATGCCAAAAATCCTTGGGATATTAAGTAAAGATCATGTTCCATGAAGATATTTTGTAAATTTCCTACTGTAAATACATTAAAACTGAATTTTTGATTAGTAATATGCATTGCTAAGAACTTAATTTGGACAACTTTAAAGGCGATTTTCTCAATATTTAGATTTTTTTGCACCCTCAGATTCCAGAATTTCAAAGAGTTGTAGCTCGGCCAAATATTGTCCTATCCTAACAAACCATACATCAATGGAAAGTTTATTTGTTCAGCTTTCAGATGATGTATAAATCTCAATTTCGAAAAATTGACCCTTATCACTGGTTTTGTGGTCCAGGGTCACATATGTGAAATGCACCCAATATGATCATTTGGGAAGCATACGTGTCCCAATACATATCTGTTAACAGATTAATAAAATAAAGCTGCACTTACCCCAAGAGAAAAGAAGAGCTTCAAGTGTTGGAAGAGCAGCCTGAGAGCAGTTGGAAAGCTCCTGCTGATGGAACAAAAATAATGCAGTCACTTAGGGAATGCCTTCACTCAGCCACCCCATGTAAGGACACTCTTAAGACTATATATAGCATTTACCTCAATTTTCAGACCATTTTACCGACTGAAAGAGGAAAAGACAACAGATTTAGTTTAACAGGGGGCAAATGTTCATTTATTTCTTTTTCATTTATTTCATGACTCTTGAGACATACAAATAGAGTAAAATAGGATTTTACCTGGAACCTCAACCTCAGAGGGACCAGCACTGGGAATTCGTAGCCTTGTATAAGTTCTCACTAACTTCCAAAAGAGAGAAACACATTTTCTACAACGATGACAACTTTGAGCTTCGGTGCTCTTTTTGCCCTCTGCACAATTTTGAAAGATGCCTCAGTTTGTAAATATTTTAAAAAGCCTTGGGTTGATGTTAAGACAAGTATTTTTTTCATTCAAGTAAAAGCGACTTCCAAAAGGATGCTGAAGTCGGCATCTTAGGAGCCCTTTTTAGGGGTTTAATCTACTCTCCCTCCCCTGACCTACAGTTGCCAACATCTATTTTTAACAGGAGATAAAACAGAGAGAGAGAGAGAGAGAGACTGTAATTGACACCCTGTAGTTACAGTACTGCTGTATGCCATTAACTAATCAATACTGTCTGTCAAGCCAGGCCCTGCAGATGTAGAGCAAGAACAGGAAAAATCAGGTGACAAAAATGTATATATATTTTTGAAAAATTCCATGGATAAATGAATTTCATAATTTAAAAAAAATGCATAAATGGGATATTTAATGTGTCAAATTTAATAAATTATTAAAATAAAATAAAATAAAATATGCACAGTATTAGCAACAGCACTAGGTATATTTCCACTTGGTAAGACTTTTATGTCAATAACAAAACAACACATGGATGTTTAGTATTGGAAAGGAATGGCTAACTAGCATTTTTTGGGGCATTAAATAATGCTTTTTGCCTGCCTGGATACCAAAAACATGTCTATTAATATTCATCAACATATAACAAGGACATATAGTATTAGAAGACATGCATTGTTTTATTGAGCATCTGCTGTTGTCAAAACAGAGGAAAGCTGATATGTAATCAAATCAAAGACAAGGAAAACAAAAGATTCTGAAAAAAAATTTTTTTTTTCAAAAGCAGCATTGTCTTTAGTGAACATTTTTGGGTTTGCAATATATTACCTTCAAATCCCAAAGCATCTTTGGTGTAGATTGAAAAAAATAAAAACAAACAATCAACAGCAACAAGAAAAAAATATAATAAAATATTTACAAAGCATGTACTAAATCCTTAACTAAAATGGTGTAATTTGTGCCTAGATTCAAACAGCTAATTAAAGTGCATCAGATCTCAGTAGTTTGAGCGAATTAAGCATATGAGTGCACAGATATCATCTCTGACTGTGCCCACTATCATTTTATCATTAACATCTTATACAGCACTCAGTGCACTGTGTTTACCATGTTACCGTAAGCTGTTGGATATTACTGTAATGAAGGCAAACAATGCCATAATGCCAGGAGAAGTACATGATACATAAACAGGAAAATAAAACACTGTGGAAAAGCACCATTTCGGCAACTTTGAAAGGAATGTTCTATAATAAATCTATTAAAATTTCAAAGAGCGGCATTCAGAAATCAAATTAGGAAAAAAAAAAAGAAAAGGAAAAAACCACCAAAATAAATTATTTAAAATGAAATAACACAGTTTTGGGATGCTTCACGCTTCACATACATTCTTAAAACCTTCCCAGCTCTATGCGTAGGTTAATATTCAGTGCTGCTCAAGAGGAGTGAAAAACCCTGATCCGATAACATAATATCAAGAGAAGCCAAAGTAACACAGTCAAATTTTTGTAGTACGGTAAGTACCTACAGTCCTCCCATTAAAATATACACAGACATTTAAGACATTTTAATTTAAACATTAAAAGCCTTCAAATAATATCACTCCTATTTAATTTTACACAAACGGTCAAGATGTCCGGGGTGAAAAACAATAAATACCCTTAGTTTGAACCACTGAAGCAGGTGTTTCTGTTGATGGCATAGAGGAGTGTTCAGAGTAAAAGGCACATTATGGCTACCGTTTCATTTGACTTCATTCAGCAGAGCTGTTATTCTGCATCATTGATCATACTCGCACTGTCTGCGTCATCAAAGTTGCGCTGGTAACGTACTGTCGAATGGAAGCGATGCTTGTTTTTCTGGTACAAGATGAAGGAGACAGTCACGACGATGCAGATGAAGACAATGATGAAGAAGACCAAAGCCACGGGGCTACCTGGATCTGCACATGCAATATGCAACATTTTATGCCATAATGTTACATTTGCAAAATCATACATCTTTTTGTTCATTTCCAATATTGTTTATTTATAAATTATATTAATAATAAAATATTACACACACACACACAAAATCTAAAATATTATATATTATAAATAATTATTTTATATACAGTGCTTAACAAATTTATTAGACCACCACCACCCAATATAAGGTTTGTGCCACAGCTGCCCTAAACTCGGTTCTGTCAGGACCACTATCGTCAAAATGATAGATACTTAGCATAAAGTTTGGTTTGGCGGTATGGTTCTGTTCTGGGCAAAAAACCTCCCTGCCCATCCATGCAGCCTGTCATGAATGAGCAGGGAGAGCAGCAATAATACCCCCCCCAGGGTTAACAGAACAGAACAAGGCAGATATCATTAATGTACTCAATGATATTTAAGTGTAACACTTTATTCAAGATAAAGGAGTCTGATTAGCAAGGAATATCAGAAAGCTAAGTCCTGACTGTGGCAAAAGGTGGAGCTGGGGATGGAGGAGGGTAATTTGCTCCGAAGCAAGCTGAAAAGCTGCTGAATACAGCTTATATAGGAATGCCGCGATAGGTGTCGTATTCCTATAGGTAGATGTGATCAGCTGAGAATCAGCTGATGCAAGCTTGACTCACGTGACCTGCCAGAACTAACGCTAAAGCTTAATTTAATAATCGGTTAATCGGTTATTACCAAAATCATTTTTAGGTTTCTGTAATGGTAATCCACCAGTATGTGTAAGCTCTTAGTCACAGTAGTGTTTCTAATGCTAAAATATAATTATTGTTGTTATCCATGAATTTTTTTATTTACTGTTTTACATGAAATGCAGAAAAATAGTAAAGCACTTTATTATTTTTTTAAATTCGGATTTCCGATAACAGTCAATAAATACAGTAATACATTTGTTAGTCACTGTATGTGCTTAAGAAATTTATTAGACCACCTGTCATAATAAAGAGAAAACAAATATTTTAGGAATCTGTCAAAAACTTGTTTAAAACTAAAATTCTATTGTCATTTATTAGGCAACTAACAAACAGAAACAACTAAATTGTGTTTATTCACACAGTAAAAAACAAAAAAATATTTTGTATGGCCTCTTTTAGGCTTGATAACAGCTTGTATTTTTGCTGGCTTTGATTTTATGTAGTCTACTTTTCCACAGTCTCTATTGTTATTGACTGTAATTGGGCATCTGAATAATAAATAAATAAATAAACAAACTACTATTTTTTTCTGCCTTTCTTGTAAAACAATAAATTTGAAAATTCATTAATAACAATAATTATATTTATAACAACAATAAACACTACTGTGACTAAGGGCCCTATCATACACCAGGCGCAATGCTGCGCCAGGCGTGACGCACATGTTTTTTGCTAGTTTCAGCCCAACGCAGTTATCATTTTCATGTCCTGCACCACGTTGTTTAAATAGCAAATGCATTTGCGCCCTCTGAAAATGAGGTGTTCAGGCTCAATGCTGGCGCATTGCTATTTTGAGGCAACTGAAATAGACTACACCTTTGACTAGGGATGTAACGATTCACTCAACTCACGATTCGATTTGATTCACGTTTTTGATTTCACGATTCGATTCACGATTTTTTTTTTTTACAAAATGAGATTTAAGACAAGTTATAAATTGAATGTGTCCTTTTATTATTGCTTGGACAAAATGCTGCACGTTTCTTTGTGAAATTGAAATATAACACTATAATAATATACTAATATAGCACTTGCATATTATTGCTCTTTTGTTGGTTTTGATTGCTTCTATTGTCCTCATTTGTTAGTTGCTTTGCATAAAAGCGTCTGCTAAATAACAAAATTTAAATATAATGTAAATGTAAATAACAAAACTAAATTAAAATTTTAAAACAAGCCCCAAATTAAATAAATAAGTAACACAAATAAAATAAATCTCTTCATATAAAGAAACTAAGACTTTGTCTGTGCTCTTTCCTTTTAAAATTAGAGGCAACCACTGCATTTTAATCATGATCCAAACAAAGATGCTGCATACATGCAACATGAGCAGTTTTTAATCTAAATTAGAATGTATAATTTCGAAATTTGAAGCAAAAACAGAATGGTCTGACTTCAGTTTTGTGAAACTATGCATAAAAATATCTGCATGAAACCGAAACAGCAGACGAGCTGAACGAGACGCAGATTCATTCTCTGCCAGCAGGTGGCGCTTAAAGCATTTCCTTGGTTTCGGCTGTAAACAAAGCAGCGCTGCACTTATGAACTTTAATATGCGTTATACAGATGCAAGATGAAAATAAAAAATACCATCTAAACTTTTCTAAAGACAGTAAGTTCCCCTCAGACATTCATATAAACTCCTACCCCTAATTGAATCGCGATTTGTTTAGCATCTCAACCGATTTGAATCGTCACATATTTGAATCGATTTTCAACCGGCTCGCGGTTAATCGTTACATCCCTACCTTTGACCAACAAAACCTGGTCTAAAGTCTGCCGCAATATATTTTTTTTCTTATTTAAAGAGCGCGTTAGTAATATGCGCCTATAGGAGGTTGCACAACGCGCGTACACTTTGCTTATTACACACACAGGGATGGACAGCAACACACAAATAATTTTAAAAATTAAAAATGTAAAGATTATTATTGTGTACATAAATATAAAAATGCCTACATGTCATAATGGATAGTCTTTGTATATATCAGAATTACGCGCACGAGCAGATACGTTCCCTCACTAGAGAAGCGCTCCGTTTTTCCGCTTGCAAATTCCATCATGTAAATAGTGAATCCGCCATGGCACAAGTGCAACTGGCTTTTAAAGGGAATGGGAGATGAGACTCTGATTGGTTTATGGCACATTACGCCCAAAACACACCCATTACTGATTAAGAGAATAGGGACAACCCTTAGACTAAGCGCAATTGCACCATGCACTTTAGACCTTGCGCTTAGATCGTTAAAATAGGGCCCTAAAGAGCTTACACATACTGGTGGATTAACCATTACAGAAACATAAAAAATTATTTTGGTATTCACCAATACTTTTAGTTTAGGGCAGCTGTGGCACAAACCTTACATTTGTTAAGCACTGTATGTATGTATATATATATATATATATATATATAGTATTATATTTTGTATTTATTTCATATTATTATCAATTAGATGTATTATAATTAAAGATGTTCAAGGTGAGAAATGTCGGGGACTCACGGGCAGGTGCTTTGCAGACAATTCGGCTGCGGCTATTCGAACAGCTCGTGTAAGTCCAGGTGCCGCTGCTGGACACCATGACTGCGCAGACCTGCGACGTCTCCTGTGATAACTCTGGCCTTGATTTTGCATCCCAGCTAGAGAAGTCCAGTTCGCTGCCGTCATGCCAACCTGTGGGCTTACCTTTTGCAGAGATTTACAAAGATTTACACAACTGAAATAAGTCCACAAAGTCTCTTCTCATTTGTAAACATTTCCATTTTTACTCTGTGTAATTTAAAGATCCATGTTGCCATACATTACACAACTCTTCAACTTCAACTGAAAAAAGGAAATAGTGTGATTGAAGGCAAATTCAATCATTATTTCACCTTTGGCGCTAACGTTGAGCGCCAGCCACACTCGGCTTGTGATGGAAGGGTTCTTATTCACGTAGTCAGAGACAAAATCATTCTCCTCTTTATTCTTGATGGTTAACAGCTTGGAGGATGAATCTGCCAGTTACACAGGAGAAATACAAGATGTTGTTAGACACTTTCAAGTTGTTTTTGGATGGTTTACACAGTTTTTAGTGATTATGTCGGGTTTGGATTTGAGAAACACAGTAACTATGTTAAATGCCACTAAATTTGCATCACTCACCATCTGATGCTTACCGCACAGAAAATGACAGACTAGTGGAGAAAGTAAGTTTTGTGCTAGTATTTGAGTGTTTTATCGAGTTGGTCTATTATCATGGTAATATGGATTTCAAATATGCCCTTAAATGGCATGTAAAGCAAAACAAATTGTGGTTGGTTGCATGTGTATTGTTTCTTCCTATCTAACCTGCAAATTGGATGTGATCCAAGGTGAAACTTGCAAGACAGCAATACAGGATATGTACACTCACCCAGATTCTGACACATGTTCTTGGCACTCTCCATGGTAAATACAGAGTAGTTGTACATGTTGAAAGCATAACAGTGATCTTTAAACAGGACCCACGAAAAGTGATCATCATTCTTGGGACAACTGCTGCTGGACTGAGAAGAGAGATGTGCACTAGTTTCTGAAAAAAAACAAAATCGAAGAGAACCAGTTTGAGCCTGATCTTTTCAGAACAACAGTTGTGTTTGTGTTGCGTCATTGCGTGCTTGTCTTACTCTCATTGATGTGGTTGTAACAGATGGCCCCTTCTTGGGCTACATGACAGTTGATGGCCGTCCAGGTGCCCTTGGAGTCCACAAACACACACTTTTCCTCAGAATCACGGCCGTCATTGATAAATCCATCTGGTGTGAATTTTACCGCACTCCCATCTGACCACTCAAATGGCCATCCGCTTACCTAGAGAAACATCCGGACAAATTACATAATGCAAAAGTTTGAGCTTACTGCTATTCATTGCTGTTAATTATTACTATTATCACACAAAATTGTGTACGTCTTGTTTGGAGAGGCCGATCCACAGTGAAAAGCCGTCTCTTTTGGCGATCAGTGCCATGTTGTCGTTAGTGGTTTTGTCAGGAATGCTGGCAAGATGGCCTCCGTTGCTGCCACACTCTTGCATTGCCTGATACCAGTCCATTCTCTTGGCCACCCGACGGTAACTTATGCCATCCGGAGTATTAACGTCAACCACACCCTTCATGAATTCATCTTTGGAGACTGTAAAAGATATTTTCGTAAGTTTATAAATAAAATTGACACTTTTGACAAATATTTATATAGACGTAAGGAACGTCCACTACCAGTTTTTTTTTTATTATTTAAAGAAATTAATACTTTTATTCAGCAAGAATGCATTAAATTGATGAAAAGTGACAATAAAGACATTTATAATGATTTTATAATGACATATATATGTATTTTTATTAAAAATACATATATGTATTTTTATTATTACTATAAAAATTAATCAAAGAATCCTGAATTTAAAAAAATATATATATTAAAAAAAGAAAACAGTTATCTTAAATTGTAATAATATTTCATATTTTTTTACTAATTCATTTTCTTTTAGCAGTTAAAGGTCACAAGGTATCTGTCTGGTTTGTTTGACAAGCACAGTTTTCTTTCCAACTGTATTTTTCTGAGCCAGGACATATTGAAGGGCTCATGCTTTTTTTAAAACAACTGTACATATAAAAAGTTTAAGCATAAATAAAAATTGTTTAGAAGCACATAACCTAAAAGATACAAAAATACAAATATGATTTATCTTATAAATAATCCTGGAGTGTGACAAATACATTTTATAATAAATCAATTATATAAAATATTTGCCTTTTTATTATTAGTAGTATTTTATTAGTACTTATTTTTATAAGTAGTTGTATTTTAATTCATATGAGGTCATAAGAACAACATGCATACTAATGATAAAAAATAGAAAATAAGTTTTAGTTGGATTACAGCTTGTCACACTTCTATCAAGGCATATCAATTACTAATTTTGCAGTTTAAGGCTAAATAAAAACATTTTTGTAAAAAATATATTTATATATAAAAAGAAAAACAAACTGAAACTCATCGGTGCTGCTTTACCATTTTCATTCTTGCACACCACGATACTCTGCTGTCTGAAGGTATTGAAAAAACGTTGATTTGTTATTATTTCCCACTCTCCATTTAAGTTGAGGCCAACCATAAAGGGCTCCGTGATGTTTGGTCTTTGACCGGATTTCCAGTTAGAGAACTGCACATTGCTGCCATCTAGCCACTTCAGCTGCTCATCTAAACCAAACACATCATACAGGGCAAAAATGAACTGCTAGTTGATACTTTCTTACTCAATCTTTCCACATAAAGGCTGAAATACACTACATGATTTTTGCCCAAATTTTTGCCAGTTTTCAACCTTAAAAAGCTGACGCTACTTATCGAAAGTCAAAGCCAATCTGCAGATTTTGGTCAGTCGGAGTTTACAGATTTCGCAGAAAATCGCGTAGTGTATGAGGGGCACATACACAGAGTCAGATTTTTCAGATCATAGATTTTTTTTCAGATTTAAAAGTCATGTAGTGTATTAGCTTCAACCTGGAAACATCCAAATTAATTGTCATTTGGTGTAAAATTGTGAATGTTTAGTCGCAGTTAATTGGCAGTTTAAGATTACATAACTCACAAGAGTGAACTTTGGGAAGTGATCATCTTACCTGTCTTGTTTTTGTTCATTCCCAGCCACACAAACATCACCAAGTTTTTGAATGGCTGCAACTGCTGTCTGATGAAATCATTCTCTTCCTCATCACGGATAGTCAGGATTTCTCCAAACCCAGCTAAAACACACAGACAAGATTACCATGAATGGCCATGTGCAGCTAAATTCATTTGTCAATTCACCTCTTAATGCTAAATCTTGTTCTGTACACACACAGTTCAGAAATTTACTGGAGGAAATTGCTGACTCTCAAAAAATGCAGGTAGTGACAACCACGTTTGCAGAAATTCTATGCAGTGTGTACAAAAACAAACTGAACAACTAGCTGTTAATGATGCATTTCAGAGTTGTGGTGCAAGAAATCACGGGGAAGGTGGTACGTCTTGACTCAATTTGTTGCCAGATCTTGCTAAAAACAAAAAACAGCAAATAAGAACAAGCCTATAATAAACTTAAATCCAAATAAGCTACATACCAAAGTATTATTACCTGCACTTTCCAACTCTATTATCTATATAAAGTAAATAGTTTATAAGCTGAGACCAAACAACAAACCAGTTTATAATTACTGGACATGGCAACCCTTAAAGAGCGCTCTGTGAAGTAGCTTTACAAACATCATCAAAACACAGTGGCTCTGTTGACGGTGGTTTAGTTAAAATCGATGAACATAACCAGTCTTTGGTCGCTGTAATATTACTTTGGTCAAAAATAGCAAATATCAAACATGCAAAACATTGCTATAGTTACCATGGTGTCAATTATCACAGTTTCAAGAGTGAGTTCTGTTCTGTACACATACAAAACGATCATTTTTTGGGATTCACTCCCGTATTTAAATGCGGTTGTCACTCCTGAAACTTTACAGTGTGGCCACTGTGAAATTCAGATATGACTTCTGGTAATGCTCCTTTAGAAATCATTAAACACAGGCTTTTATACAGCATCTTCGACCATAGAATTGAAACTTTGAAAACACAGCAGTAAAAGAAACATGTTGTGCAGAATAATTTGTCCAGTATTTTAAAGGTCCCAGATATGATGCATCCATACCAAGTGACTTGCAGATCGGCTGCTCATTGATTTCATCGTTGCCCCACCTGGAGGCCCTCAGCAGTAACGTGTAGCAGTTCTTTTTAAAGCGGATCCAGTTCTGTCCATTGCTTTTGTGAGGACATTTGAACGAATCTACTTCAGGTGTGACGGTCTTATCTATTATGAAAAAAAAATAATTTTTAAGCAAAACATATGAAAGTAAATAATGAAAAGCACAGGTAGCAGTTAGCATTTATGAACTGAATCCCTACTGTGTGGGATGTGGCAGATTGCTCCTGAAAGCTCTTCATCACACTCGGTTGCCTTCCAGAAACCATCAGTGTCCAGATACACACAGGCCCCTTTGGTGGCTTCAGAGGTCCAGCGGCTGAACTCAGCGTGGCTGTGGTCTGTCCAGTGGAAGTGCTCCCCTTCCTTGATTACAATAATAATAATGATCATGGATGGTAATGACATTGAACTGTTCTAGTATGTAATACACTAACATTTGTAAGTTTGGGGTTCAGAAAGATTTTTTTAAAATTATTATTAATACTTGTATTCAGCAAGAATGCATTAAATTGATAAAAAGTGACATGTATATAATGTTACAAAAGACTGTTTCAAATTAATTCTGTTCTTTTAAACTTTCTATTTATCTTGGAAAAATTTATTATGGTTTTCAACATTGATAATAATATTAATTGTTACTTCAGCATCAAACCAGCATACTATGATGATTTCTGAAGAATCATGTGACACTGAAGACTGGAGTAATGATGCTGGAAATTCAGCTTTGCTATCAGAGGAATAAATTAAATTTTAATATATATATATATATATATATATATATATATATCCAAATAGAAAAGTTATTTTAAATGCTGTTCTATTGAACTTTCTATTCATTAAAGAATCCTGAAAAATTACATAATTTTTTTCTGTTTTATATAATAAAATGGAAAAGTTATTTTAAATTATAATAATATTTCAGAATATTACTGATTTTATTGTTTGATTGATCAAATTAAAGCAGTCTTACCAGAAATTTAATATTTTTCAAAAAATTTGAATGGCAGAATAAGTGTAACATTCTATTTCCTTAATTTTTTATAAATTTTTCTTTATTTTTTACTAATCCATTTTCATTTTGCAGTTCACTTAGAGATCACATGATATTTGTCTGGTTTGCTTGCCAAACACTGTTTTTCTTTCCCTACAGTATTTTCCTGGGCAAGGACACATTAAAGGGCTTGCCGTTTCTTAAATTACTGTACATTTTAAATGTGGACTGGAGTAATGGTTGCTGAAAATTCAGCTTTGATATCACATGAATAAATTACATTGTACAATATATTCAGACAGAAAACAATTATTTTAAATTGTAATAATATTTGACAATATTACTGTTTAAAAAATGGTAAGCATAAGAGACTTCTTTCAAAAACATGTTACAGACCCCCAACTTTTAAACAGTAGTGCATGTCAGTGATTAGAAAGCATAGAGCATGTGATCTTCACTCACGTCTTCACTGAAGAGTCCAATCCAGAGGGGTTGTCGTCTTCGAGAAACTTCAACTGTGAGCACTGCTTGCACATATGCATCAGGTATGCTGGCTAAGTCCATATTGTAGCTCTGGCATAACTGAAGAGCCTCTATCCATGTTAAATTGTCTTGCTGTACCACCTTAAATGTATGACTATGAACCGTGAAATTATCCTTATGATCAGGTCCCTCTGGTTTATCTGGGGAATTTGTCAGTTGGGTGTTAATCCACAGAACACTGCTTCATACAACATACAGATGATTGAGACGATCGCTGGCGGCTCGTACCTGCATAATGCTGGCAGATGCTGACATTCTGACGGTCAGAGCAGGAGGTGAAGTCCCAGGTGCCCATCAAGTCAGAATGATCATTATTATACATGTAGGCACAGATCTCCATGGTGTCCCGTTCAAACGACTGCCGTGCAAAAAGAGAACCCCTCAGATTAACGGTATTATGATTACTCTATGGCCAGAGAATTTTTAATCACTTATGAAATTAAAAGTAAAGCCAACTGAACCCAAGTTATGGTGCATGGGAGATGATATAAAAACGGCTTGATGATATAAAAAAATGCTTCCCACAATTTTTTATTTTGCATTCGAGTGACTTGAGGCTTAGTTCACCTAAAAATGAAAACTTGCACGATACATATGACTTTCATTCTATCATCAAGAAAACAAGATGTTTTCAGGAATGATAATGATGCTCTTTTCCATACAATGAAAATGAATGAGGACAGAGGCTGTCAAGCTCCAAAAATGCATTTGTATGTTTGTTGTCAAGTTATTGCATGAATTCAGAAAAACATTACGAGTCGGATGGATCTTATGGTGCTTTAACTGTTTACACCACCATTCAAAAGTCTGGAGTTAGTAAGATCTTTTAATGTTTTTCATATAAGGCATTTATTTGATTAAAAACTACAGTAAAAACAGTAATATCGTGAAATATTATTACAGTTTTCTATTGTAATATATTTCAAATTAATGACGAAGAGCCTGTTAGCTCAAACGTTACCTTGTGTGAAGTACATTATTAAAGGGTTAGTTCACCAAAAATGAAAATTCTGTCATTAATTACTCACCCTTGTGTTGTTCGAAACCTGTAAGACCTTCGTTCATCTTCGGAACACAATTTAAGATATTTTTGATGAAATCTGAGGGCTCTCTGACCCTCCCATAGACAGCAAGGTAACTACCACGTTCATGGTCCAGAAAAGTACCAAGATGATCGACAAAGTAGTCCGTGTGTAAGCTATGAGAATACATTTTTGCGCAAAGAAAAGAAAAATAACGACGAAAATGTGGAATTAAGTCGTTATTTTTGTTTTCTTTGCGCAAAAAAGTATTCTCAAATTTCATCAAAAATATCTTAAATTAGGTCTTAAGGGTTTGGAACAACACGAGGGTGAGTAATTAATGACAGAATTTTTGGGTGAACTAACTCTTTCAATTGTTTTGCATTTTTGGGGCCTATGGTGTGCCGACATATTTTAAAATGCAATTTATTACTGTGATGCAAAGCATGTATCCTTATTGAATAAAAGTATTAATTTCTGAGGCTGAATAATGGCAGAGTTTTCATTTTTTGGGCAAACTAGTGTGTGAACACAATGCCACAAATGCTGCTGAAAATAACCCAAATCTCCCAAATTCTGATTTCCAGTGCTTTGGACTAGATCTCCAGATTTTTGTGGTTATTTATATAACTTTCAAGACTTTCAAAGCAGATGGACACTTGCATTGATGAATATGGGTCGTATCTGGCCATGCAGGAGAGGATTGAAGTTCAGATATTCAAGAGGCGAGTTGTCCACCCACTGAATGTCATGAAGATAGATCTTTAGGCCAATCCAGACTTTCTGAGGCTGTCCGGGTAACTCCGGTAACAGTGTAGTGATGAAATCTAAATGGAGGAAAGACGCACAGGACAGACAGATAGAGAAAGAGAGTGTCAATAAAAGCACTAAAAGCATGAATAACATTTTTTTTATATTAAAATGTGTTCTCGGTGGATTTTAATAGAATAGTAATCAAACAAACCCTGTTCAACTTGGTCAGATATGGTGAGCAGCGTGCCTTTCAGTCTCTCGCAAAACTCACTGGCTTCTTTGAAGCTTTGGTAATAAGAGTCGGATAAAACCCAGTAGCACTGCAAGGCATATATACAATGATGTCATTAACAAAAAACACATGTTCAAAGTTCAAGGGATGTGACTGGCTGCATGCGCATGACAGACCTTGTCTCTGAAGTGATGTGAATTTCCCCCACACGGGGTGCCGGGTGGGTGCGGTTTTGGGGTTCCTTTCTCCGCAGAAGTGACGTTCAGGGTCTCGCACACAAACGGCTGTCTTTCATTACAGCTGCCTTCTCTGAAACCTACAGAGAAGAAAAGATTAAAGAGGGTCATCCGAGTCGCTTCATAAATCATAATTGTTGCTGTCAGTTTAGAGGGCTATTTTTCCAACTTTTAAACTCTTATAAAAGTTATTTCTTTTTAAAAAATACATGTCTCTCTTATCCTCTATTATAAAAGCAAATGCTTTAAAAATGCTTTATTCTTGTTTCTTGTACAAAACAGATCTTATAACTTAAAACAATAAATACATTAATTAATTTTAAAAACAGGTTAATTATTTATTTAAAATTTGAAGTAAAAGCGATGTACAAATATGAAAAATGTTTAAAACAGCAAACACCAATTTTATTACAGTAAATATTAGCGTAAATGGCACTAACTACTACAAAAATCTTATAAGCATCATGTCCACCATTTGTCCTGAAAATGGTTTGTTTTTCAGATGCAACATCATAAAACATGTAATTAAAATGGTCTAAAAGTCTGAATGTTTTATTACATATATACCGACACTTTTTTCAGCTAGTGAACAAAAACGTAAAGGTTGCCCCCTGCTCCTGAAGTGATTCATGGGTCTTTCAACCTTCACAGGAATTAGGAACTAGGAAAGTCATCCGAATGAGCCATGAAACATCTTCAAACTAAAAACATGTCAAGCTGCTCCAAAATAAACTCTGTAAGAGTTACTTTAGGAATCAGAATGAGACTCTCATACCGGGTTCAAATGAGACAGGAGTGATAGAGGGGCACCTGCCCAGAAACGCTGAATAATAGTAACGCATGGGGCTGAGCCTGCAAACACACACACACACACCAATAAATGATAAACAAAAGAGAAGTTTGTGCCTTTAATTGTGCTTCTTGATGAGGTTTGGATGAGGTATGAAAAAGCAGAACTTACCTAAAGGGAATATGAGGATCAGGGTGACGAAGGTCTGCCCACCACTTTACAATCTTCTGTTCTGAATGCTACAGATTATTAAAAATAGATTAATTACTGGCTGGTTTGAACAATCATATACTCACTCATATTAATACCATCCATTACCCAACAGATCTCCACTTTATTGTGAATCAAACAATGTCCATTTATGAGCATGGGTGTTGTTTCTTACAATACTGCCAGCGGAACATTTAAAAAATAAAAAATAAAAATTAAAAAGTTTAAAAAAGTTATATCTTTTTTTCAATCTAGCAACAACAACAACAATAATAATAATAATAATAATAATAATAATAATAATAATAATAATAATGCATCCACCGCCTAGCATTTTATAGATAAAAACACAACTTCCACGTGCAACAGGTAAAATTGCATGCTCAGTTTCAGCTTTGTATTTATGATTAACAAATGCTATTACTTATTTAATAAATAAAAAAGACAGTAAATTTGCAGACAGCCTGGTTCATATACATCCGATTTAGCAGTACTCAGTTAAAATGGATAAGTTTTATCATTCAAACTGAATACATATTTACTACTTCAAAAGTTATTCAGACTTCAAAAAAGGGGGTTGAGGTCTGTAAGATTTTTCAAAATAAAAACTAATACTTTATTCAGCAAGGATTCTTTAAATTGATAAACAGTACCAGTAATTCTGTTCTTCTGATCTTTCTATTCAGCAAACAATGCTAAACAAAAGTATCAGTTTACACAAAAATATTAAGCAGAACAACTGTTTTCAACAGTTTAGCTTTGACATCACAGCAAAAAATGACATTTTAAAATATATTAAAATAGAAAATTTTTAATTTTATAATATTTCGCAATATTACTATTTTTACTGTATTCAAATAAATGCTAAACTTTTGAACAGTACTGTATTTATCGAACAGCAGTGTATTACTTTTTAAATAATTAAAAACATTGAACTAATTACTTTTAAATAGCTTTAAATTACATTTTAAATAACAATAAATTAAAAAGACATTCTGCGTTCTGTCTATGCATGAATAAATCTGATTTTTATGGTGTACTTATGACTATGGCTTTATACATTTACTTGTCACTATGTGCAGGCTTCATCTTAAGACCTCACCAACATTCTGTTTTGACGTTCAGTGGAGGTGCAGACTTTAATTTAAAGAGTCGGACCTCCCCAAACCCCCTGTAATTCAGGGTTTATAGAAACATCTGCCCCCTTTGGTACCTCAAAAAGATGTTCCTGTAGGCGGTGTATGGCACTAAGTGTGTCGGGTGCGGCGAGTTTGCTGCTGTTGCTGCTGCAGTACAAGACAGCCTCCTCAAAGGGCAACTTTGGCTCTGTTACAAACCAGAACTCCTGGCCGTCTATAAACACTGATGTGTCATGGTGCCCATCTGTTAGTAGTGAAACACAAAACATGTCACTAATTTCCACACAAATAATCCATGACGTATTTGGGCACTTGATTTGAAATAAATGCTCTACCTGGGTTGTACCACTCTGGTGTTTTTGGTGTGTGACCTAGAGAATGATCCAAAGACCATGAAATCAGCAAAAATTTCCATGGGACATAAAAGGTGAAATTCTTAGCATACTTGTCACTCTTTTGCAGTGCATACAAATACAATGAAGGGGAATAAACTTTTCAAACTAAATTTCCACTAATTTGTTGTTTGCAAAGTAAATATAGAGTCTATATAAATAAGTATTAACAACTGTGAAAACGTTGCCAGGAAGTGGTCTTAAAAAAGTGTTGGATGTTGTTTACCTCGTGGTATCTGACACACCCACTCCAGTTTGGCATCGCAGTGAAAGGTGCTGGGATAAAAAGCCCGTGGAGGAACTTTATGAAACAGGAGGAAGAGAAACGGCTTGTGGGTTCCTTTCAAAGTCTGATGATACAACACACACACACACAAAAAAACTCTGATATGTTTGTGAGTATTTAAATCCTGTTTGATGACAATCTATCGATCTGATCTTCATTTCTCATCTCTCCCTGCTCCCAAATAGGAGGTAAAGGCTGTATGTAGGTCATGCTGTGACTATTCTAGACTCCTGATTATTGACTGGCTGTTGGCTAACAGTGATGGGCTGTTTTGTGTCAATTACTGCCCCAACATTTACATGTCCAAATGAAACAAACATCAACCACATGTATTCAGTAACTATAATGCTGCATTTATGTAATACTGAAATTGCAAAATTATGCTATAATTTCTGTCATTTTAATGAAAAAAATAATAAAATACTACAGTAACAACCTGTTAATTAGGTAAATGTAAGTCATCAACAAATATTGCAAAACCTTTAATACCATTTAATTTTACAGTAAGATTAAACAGTACATTTAAAGTAAATACTCAGTCATCTTGTAATTTACAGCGAGAAACAGTAAAAGCCTAAATAAAATTAAGTTATGTTTCCTATTAAATTAAATTTAAGTTATGTTTCTTATTATTTATGTGATCGCATACATTCTAGTGTTTAATATAACATTTTAGGTTGTTTAAATGACATTTATTGTTATTTTAGTGTTTTATAACAATGCTCAATGACAAATGAATCGGAGTCTGACTCACTGTAATATAAAATTAAAGTGCACCATTATGAATTTTTGAAAATCGCCTTTCATGCAGTGTGTAATGTAGCTATATGTGAATGTAAACAGTATGCAAATTTGTAAAGCTGAAAGAGCATCATAAATAAAGTTTGCCAAAAATGGATTGGCATGGTAATGTACATGACAATATTAATGTATTTAGTCTTGGCGGAATAGATCTGCTACGCTGCTGCTGCTGCGGCAGAGCAAGTACCGAGACTTGCTACTGCCAATACATCCACAACATGCTGCTGTGAGCATGTAAGAAATTTTGCTGCAGCAAATATAACATACATGAAATAACCCCCATATAGCATACATCACCTCGTAGCAGATCTATACAGGTGGAGCTGGGGAAGGTGGAGGGTTTCTGAAGTGTGCTGCAAACTGCTACAGCAAACAAAAGCCAGGTATTTCAATATTGAGCAGTAAGCTCATTGCCTACCGATACAGGAGAGAACCAATCAGCTGCCATGCGACAATGATGTCGGCAGGTCAGATTGAGCTAGACCTATCGCACTGCGCCATCTAGAGTTTCATGCCAGAACTCTGTATTCATTGTCTCTCAAAAGAAAGAGTCAACTCTGAATCACTGAAACAAGTCGTTTTAAATTCGAGTCCCATTTCTGCAGTTCATATGTCACAAGTTAATACATTTGCATAATGCATGCCTACGTTCTGCTTTGACGTCCCGCAAAAACAAATCTCAAACGCTTGTTTATGTGGTTAATTCGGTTTATTTTCACTTCCAATGGATGAAGCTGTGAAGAATCAGTGGTTAAAATTCCTCTTTACTACGATACCACAGCAGTATGAACCCAAACTTTTGCTGTGTTCCATCATTTCACTGACGACTGCTTTTCCAATCGTAAACCAGCTGTCTTTGAAACATGGGTCAGTGCCCAGTTTGTTTGAACCAGCTTGCTCCTCCGAATCACAACCTGTACGTATGATTAATAATTACTGCTTTAATGTTCTGTCGAGCGTGCAAAATATGTAGTTTTGTGTGTCGTGTATACACTCAGTGCAGCTGTAGTTCTCTGGCTAACTCACGTTATAGTTCTGCTAATCAGCTGTGGGCCTGCTATTGTCTAGAAATGTGTCAATTAACATAGAATGTCCGTCGTTCATATTTCTTGGAGTCATGATAAAGGATGGAGCAATACGTTGGGTTACAAACGGCAGTGCTTTATCAGTACTCTCTCTCTGTGTTCGGCTAAAGCATATGCCATTATTGTTACCAAGCTGTGTCCGGTTCACTAATATAAGTGTAAAACGACTTTTTCCCCACCGATTCTTTATTTTTAGAACAGAGTGGAGCACTATTATTATTATAACAGGATGTATTATTGATAAGCCATATTCCAGTACTGGTGATGGGTGTTCCTTTTCCGACATGCTCTGTACGCAATAGACCAGTCATAACAGGCTGGGTCATCGGACAAAGCAGAGCAGAGTAGCCTCATGCAAACGAGGGGTTTGGAAAGATTAATCTCTGAACTAATCGTTTGAGAGTCGTTGAGAAAATTAAATACATATAAGAAAATGAAAGTGTTTTTTGACCTTGCATGCATGTAAAACTGTTGCTAGGGACTCCCAAAACCTATGAAGCGTTCAAATAGCATAATAGGGGCACTTTAAATCATATAAATATTAAAATTTCAAGCAGAAATATGTACAGCTATCCAACCATCTCCAACAATGAAGTGACTGAAGTTTTGAAACTTGTAATTATGTTTTTTGTTTGTACTAGACTGGTCCAGACAAAATAGCATGTGTCATTTCATGTGTTGTTTGTTGAGATAATATTGCACAATAATGCAGTGTTGTGATGTAATGCAAGGGTAATGTTTTGGGGGTAATGTTCACCACACCTTAAACGCAACGCAATCCCTATTATAGGCGTCATCTTCATTGAATTCATCAGGAAAGATCATCACGGAGACCTGTTACCAAGCAACAGAAACAAATGACAACACCTACACATTTCACACATTAGCTTAAGTCAATCAAGTAATAGAGGAGCAAATGATGGCTCAGATCATAATACAATTATGTCTTTATTTTGTTCAGAAAACATATGTTAGTGACTCACCGGACGCCCGTCACTCCACTCCCAGTTGTTGTTGTTATTTGGATTTCGGCGATTAAGTCCCACCCAGAAAAAACGTTCATCACTGTACAGGGAAACAAACAGCACAAATATAAGTCAATACATTTCACAGCACTTGGTTTTGTGTGTGGGTATGTGGGGGAATATGATAATGGGAGTTGTAGAAAAAAAAACTGTCCTATCTGTACCTGATAGAGTCTCTCAGGATGGAATGTAACATTTGCATATCTTTAGCCTCAGTGAAGCTGGGCAAATGACCCCCTAGTTCCTCACAGAAACGTTCCGCCTCTTCCCACGAGCGCTTTCTGGTCAAACGCTCCCCGTGAAACACCTGCAGACACATTTAAACAGATGTCGATTAGATATAACTAGAAATGTCTTCATTGTCTTGACTCAACTTCTGTTATAGATGAACACCACCTTAACACACCTTGTAACAGTATTTTAGGCCTTCTCTCGAGACCCAACCGGTTGCACAGGAAGCATTGGTATTGGGCACAATTGGATCTGGGGTGGGTTGGACCATTGATTTAATAGGTTTCTTACAGATATTGCCAGCTTTGAACAGAGTGCAGTTCTTAACAGCCCATTGGCCCAAAGGATGCCCGGTAGACATCACCACACAGCCACCAGGGAAAGCTGAAACACATATTCACTTTCAAACTCAATGCAAAATCTTATGAATTATGGTATTTAAAAAGTTAGGATACTGTTTTCCCTCCCAGTAATCAGTATTGCTTTTCCAATGAAAAAGATACACAGTAACCCAGAAAAAACACTTTTAAGTCTGCACTTGTCTAATAAAGAAATGTATTAGGATAGTGAACAACCACAGTCGATCCTATGATGTGCATTACCGGGTTCTAGCCCTTTCCAGTTGGTGTAGGCGACCTGGTCTGCTGTCCCATCCTGACCGATCCACTGGTACTCCCTGGACCCTTTAGTGTCCTGTAGCCCCGTCCAGAAATACAACACCTCAGTGCTGATAAGCTCTTTCAGAAGACTGTTAATGAAGGCCTGTTCAAATCTAGAGAGAGGATTACATATCTTCATGTTACTGGAAAATTTGGAAATTAGAAACTAGGTTCTATTAATGGCTCACTATTATTATTAATCAAGATTGAGTGTAAATTTTTAAAAGTCAGTTACAAAAATGAATGGTGTTAACAGTTACTTGTTATTAATGGTGATGTGGCAGCTGTTTTTATAGAACACCAGCTCAGTGTTCACTTTATAGCAAGCGTCGCCATGTCTCTTCCAGTTCTAGAGAGAAGAAAAGACAGATGTCTGCTTATTCATGAATCAGATTCACAAGTGGAATCTAACTGGATGGCGATAACAACAATACGAAGCACAAATATGATCTATGTGTTTCCATGGAGTTACAGGGAATTGTTCAATAGTGACTCTCTGTCGTGTGTCACTCACCCCGTCTGGAGGGCAGCCTTCCTCTGGGGCACTCTCATTCACAATCCCCTTCTTCTTACACATGTAAGCCCTCGGGTTGTCACAGTCAGACACAGACCACGTATGATGCTGCAAACATGCATAGAGAAATTAGAGCTGTGCTGATATTCAGAACAGCGCTCTTGTTTATGTGTTATTGCTTAATTAAAATCTGACATGATGAAAAACACACACACACCTCTCCTGCATAGTACACACAGTGGGTGGCATTTGGTAGAAGTGGTGGAGGTTGAGCTCTGGCCCAGTATGTGAAAGACACTGGTACTTTATCGACCCATTTATAAACTGAGGTGGTTCCATCACCCAAAAGACCAATCCATACTTCTGTTTTCAGATCTGTCACATATAAAGATAAAAAATATAAAGTCATCTTGATTTAAGAATGTTTAAATATTTGTATCGGAAAACAAAAATACTAGTTGGAGATTAACATTAATCATAATCATTTTAATGGATGAGCTAATGGAATATTTTACAATCGCCTTGTTTTCTCAGAACCCGTGTTGTTTATACATGTGCACAGTAAAATGTGTTTACCTGAGTGAAAATTTGTGTGTAGCATTTCAATATCGTCTAAACTGTGGATGCTGGCAAGCTGAGAGTCAGCCAAATGACACACATTCTGAGCATCATGCTGGGACAGTTTTTCCTCTGTTCCACTTTCGAGTTTATAACAAAATCCTTTCCACCCAATCCAACCATCATCACACTCCGTGGGCTTATATACCTCCCTGACTGCTGAATGGAGAGAGAGAGAGAGAGTGCTGTGAAAGTGAGAAAAAAGAAGGAAAACAGAACAAGTGGGCAGTATCTGACCTGTACTCTCACTGCCTTTGTCATTCTTCATGCAGATGAATGGAAGCCGATGTTCACACGTCTCTACGCCGAAACGCAGCAGCTCCTTTAGAACCCCACAGTCCTCATCCGACATAAGGGATCTGATTGGCATGCCTAACAAACATGCCCCATGACACACAAATGTAACACTTTATGTAAACAGTGCCAGTAGTAACATACAAAACAGTGAATTCATCTAATCAAATAACATTGTCACTCATTCTTTTTCAGAAATCTCATAACATTTATCGTTTCGTGGACATATGTGTTACATTCAAGTTTTCAAAAGTATTATTAGCTTAAAACCTAAATTTAATATCCAAAAACGTTTTTATTAAAAGTTATTTCTTTATTTATTAGTTTAGCAGGGAGAGTGTACAATAAATAAACATTACTGTAAATGCACTGGAATTAGCACATTAGATAATATAATTGGTTATTAAAAGATATTTATTATGATATTATGACTTCAGAAATGCATAAAGTAAATGGCATCATAAATGCTTTTTTTATTCTATTGTATTTTTATTCAAGTCAAGTCAAGTTTATTTGTACACCGCTTTTCACAATACAAATTATTGCAAAGCAACTTTACAGCAAATTAAGTTTCTACAATATTTAGTGGTTTCAATATTTATTGTATTCAAAATACAATAAAATGCTGTTCATTCATACAAAGACTTAAATGCACCACTTCTATGGTGATTATGTTTTTATGTCCAAATTTAAATGTATTTTGATATATTTTGGTGGTCACAATAATCTCAGTAAAATGTACATTATTCCTTGAGGTCTAAAAAAAATCTTAACCTCATCGAGAACTAAAAGGACAATTTAGTGTCTATTATTTTATTGTTGATCTCGTGTGAATTGGACAATGGGTTTAAGTTTTAAAAACCAATTAATTAATCAGTAAAGTGACAATTAACATGGTTACTGTTCAAATAAAGTAACTACTGATGCAATTACAATCTAAAAAACAGCTTAAGATTACGGTATTGGAGTAACTTCTCCAACACTGCATGCAAATCATTTGCATAAAAAGTGTTTATAGACCGTTCATTTCATTGACACCACACACATGGGGTGAGGAGAGACAAACCGCCCACATCAACACAGCTGACCTTCAGTCAGAGACAATGCTGTCATCACAGAGACTACTGCATAAAGATGCCATTCAAGTCATCAGTTTGTTTTTCTAGCAAAACAGCTATGCTTGTACACCCATACACACACTGCCACATTAACAGCGACAGAAATGTCGTTGTCAGTGGCTGAACAGCAGAGAAGATAAAAGATCTGAGGATAAGAGAACTGCTCTTCCTTCATTTGCTAAACCTAAATCACTGTGAAACTCAAGAACTGGCACGTTGTACAGGATGTAAAGGGAAAATGTTCCAAAAGAAAAAAGGTTTGATTTCCTATGTCAGAGATTCCATCTCTTCCAGACGTTTGCCAGAACATGTGGTTGAGTTTTTGGTTGAACTATTGCTTTAAAACATAAAAATACAAACAATAATCTACTATAAGATTCTTTATAATACACTGTCCAGTTGAAATCACCTGTTTCCCAAGGGGCAAAAGATAAAGCTGATCCATCTGCCAACTGCCAACCCTGCATCCAGTCCAGATGGTTCAAGCCGATCCACAGCTTACTTGGCAAGTCTTTTCGATCTTTAACTGCAGGGGGAAGGAGATAAATAATGAATATTAAAGGATGGAATACACTACATGATTTTTGCCCCGATTTACAGTCTGGATAATCAACGATAACTGCCAAAAGTCAGAGCCAGTTTGCAGATTTGGGTTGACAGATTTCATAGAAAATTGCGTAGTGTATGATGGTCACAGACTCTGATTTTTTAGCTTCAGACTTTGATTCCATCCAGTCGGAGGATATCAGACATGTTTGATATTTTGAGCCGATTTTAGAACATGTTGTTTTCATTTGTCATGTGTCTCCTAGCAACAAGCCGCACGTTTCTGTGTGAGTATGTTGTGATCGGAACAACTTTAAAATCTGCTAATGTGTGATCCTCAGTCATTTAGTGTATGATGACCAGTTTTTCTTCTGTGACTATTACAAAGTTGGTAAGTGTAAGTGTATGATGCCCAATTTTTAAAAAATCTGTTCAGATATTAAAAGTTGTGTTGTGAATTCCAGGCTTTAGCTGCAAAATCAGTGTGAATTAAAGCTGAAATGTGTAATTCTGCACTAAAAATAATGAGTGTTTTCAAACAGGTTTCTCTAACACTCCCACCAGCTGCCATTGGTCAGACACACAGAGGCCCTGAACTTATGCTATTGGTATTTCAAAAAATTACAGTGCATCAGTATTGATGATTATGAGAGAATATATTACAATTCAAGTTTTACGATTCCAAATCCAACTGCAGTTGTTAATACAGTAATAAATATGCAGCTGAGGTTGGTTCTGATGGATAGACAAGATTTCTAATGGACACGGAAAATGTGGCTATGTAGAGAGAATTAGTGTTTTCAAACAAGAACATATTAAATTCATCAAAACACAATAAAGACTAAAAAAAATATATTATTTCAAACAAATGCAAATAAATGAGTTTTTATTCAATCTAACAGAATGGACCCTTAACAACAATATATTTGTCTTTCAAGATAAGATTTTTAAGCAAGCAAAAGGACGTTTTGGGTGCATGTTATAGCCCTTCTTATGCTGGTTTATTTTTAGGTAAATGGGAAAAAGATTTTTGCATTGAACTCGAACAAATCCTTATTTACACTGAACAAAATTATAAACGCAACACTTTTGTTTTTGCCCCCATTTTTCATGAGCTGAACTCAAAGATCTAAGACTTTTTCTATGTACACAAAAGGCCTATTTCTCTCAAATATTGTTCACAAATCTGTCTAAATCTGTGTTAGTGAGCACTTCTCCTTTGCCGAGATAATCCATCCATCCACGCATATCAAGATGCTGATTAGACAGCATGATTATTGCACAGGTGTGCCTTAGGCTGGCCACAATAAAAGGCCTCTCTAATGGCGCTTTTCCACTGCGTGGTACGACTCGGCTCGGCACGGCTCAGTACGGCACGGCACGTTTCGGCTCGGCACGGTTTGCGTTTCCACTGCAGTTCAGTACCGCTTTAGAGTGGGCGGGATTATTCACATGTGTTATAGTTGCGCCGCCTCTACTACCACGACTCCTAAAAAAACATTTTCATTCTGAGTCGCCCCATCAAGCTCTCGCTGGATCCGCTCCTCTGCTATCAACGAGAACGTCTGTTCTTCCGCAACAGCTGAACACACACAAAACTTTTTGGTTGTTAAAAAAAGGTGCGCTCGTTCAAAACAGTTGCGTTCGATCCTTCGCTGGCTGTGCTGATTTAAATCTAGCGGTTCTTTTGTGTTTGTGTCGCAAGTTCAGTGATGCAGGTAGTGACGATTCTCACCGACCAATCCGTGATCAGTAGAGTTTACACGTCACGTTTTGGTAACGGTACGGTTCACTTGGAACCCCAACCGAGGTGGTACTAAAAAAATACTAGGTATAGTACCCAGTGGCCGTGCTGTGTACCGTGCCGTACCATGCAGTGGAAAAGCGCCATAAAATGTGCAGTTTTACTGTATTGGGGGGTCCAAAAACCAGTCAGTATCTGGTGACCACCATTTGCCTCACGCAGCGCAACACATCTCCTTCGCATAGAGTTGATCAGGTTGTTGATTGTGGCCTGTGGAATGTTGGTCCACTCCTCTTCAATGGCTGTGCGAAGTTGCTGGATATTGTCAGGAACTGGAACACGCTGTCATATACCAGCAAACCGCTGCACATTTTAGAGTGGCCTTTTATTGTGGCCAGCCTAAGGCACACCTGTGCAATAATCATGCTGTCTAATCAACATCTTGATATGCCACACCTGTGAGGTGGATGGATTATCTCGGCAAAGGAGAAGTGCTTACTAACACAGATTTAGACAGATTTGTGAACAATATTTGAGAGAAATAGGCCTTTTTTGTGTACATAGAAAAAGTCTTAGATCTTTGAGTTCAGCTCATGAAAAATGGGGGCAAAAACAAAAGTGTTGCGTTTATAATTTTGTTTAGTGTAGATAATATCATTTGATGGGGACGTTATATTAATGATGTTATTCTATTCTTTTCAGGATCAAAGGAAGATTTAATTTAATTTCATCAATATCTTAATAATATCAATTCTAATGTGAAATTGTCTTTAGAATATAATAAGGAAAAATTAACTTTCTGGACCTGGAAATTACTAAAGATAAAGAAGGATTTTCACATACATCAATATTTAGAAAACCCACAGACAGAAATATAATTCTCCATCTTAAAAGTTGATAAATAGTATACCTTTTAGGCAGTTTCATAGATTACATAGGATTTGTGATAAAGAACAAGAAACGGAATAGGAATAAATGACATTTTTAAATATATTGTAAAAATTATTTTAAATTGTAATAATATTTCACTGTTTTAATGTATTTTTTATATTAAAAAAACAGCCTTGGTGAGCATAAGAGCATCTTTCAAAAAAACAAAAACTCTCTATATTTTAACCATATAGAGATGGTTAAAAATCATAACACAGAAGTGAAAATGAGAATTGAGTCTTACAGAACTCAAGCTCTTGAGGGCTAGAGACACTGAGCAGATCTCCTCCTTGACTACGACAGGCATCCCGCGCCTCGTGCCAGGTCACCACCGCTGTGGATACGACCTGATAGCAGCGTCCTTTCACTGGGTCTTTCTCCCATAAAGTAGAACATCCCTCCACTAAATAAAAGAAAACGGATAGGGGGTTAGTTACAATTCTTTCATTATACAGACCTCCATCTGTTTGTCTCCTGTCCTACTTCCGGCATATGTGATTCTTTCATTCTGTCTCTGACCTTTGAAGTGTTGCAATCTTTTCCATGTTTCTTCAGGAAGTATAAGTCATATTAAAGGAATGTACAACAAACAGGGGTAATAGTTAAAATGGCTTAGCAAGAACAGAATAGTACAAAAAGGGCAGCTTAAACCAGCATGAGTTCCATGTAAAAACCTAGCAGGTTAAGTAGGTCAGGTAGGCGGTTTGTAGGGAAATAGTTGACTAAAGTGTTCTGCGCAAATGTGACAGACAGTATCTGTGACACGCTCACCACAGAAAATACATTTTTATAATACCCCTCTCTTATTTAATAATCTCTTATTTATTTATTTAAAAATAAATGAAGTATTTTAAATTGAATAGAAGTATTTTTTAATTGAAAGTTATTGAATTATCCACGACATGCCTAAATTGATTTTAAAGGGGTCATATGATGCGATTTCAAGTTTTCCTTTCTCTTTGGAGTGTTACAAGCTCTTGGCGCATAAAGAAAATCTGTAAAGTTGCAAAGACTAAAGTCTCAAATCCAAAGAGATATTCTTTATAAAAGTTAAGAGTCAACCACACCTACTATCGTTCTAACACGCCCAAACGTTTACGTCACTATGTGGAAATATTAGCATAATGCCGCCCAAATGTTCACGCAAAGAAAGAAGGTGTGGTTTCAGGAACAGCAGCAGTGTTGATGCAGCCATGTCAGGGAGACGCTGTGTTTCAGTGCGAAAGCAAAAGCACTTTATTTGGCCTTCCAGAAGTAGATGCAATCAATTCCAGTGCAGAGTTTTGCGCAGCGTAGAGTAACGTGTCATGTGTGTGTGAGGGGAACAGGGTCACATCACAGGAGAGTGAACTGTCTGTCAGAAATCATAGCACGTCAGCTGTCTTAACAGCGGCTTGTGTACTGCATCATCACATCATCACATCATCACGCGACTCTGTTGCCCTTTCGGGCTTGAACTGATGGTAAAACTAACGACATTATTAACTGTCTTGATATTTACTTTGAAAGCGGACGCTCGCGATTATGGTAAGGGGCGTTACATTTCCGATGCGTGCTTGTGGTGTTCGGCCAATCACAATGCACTGGGTCAGCTGGCCAATCAGAGCAGACTGCGCTTGTCGGAAGGAGGGGCTTTGTCGAAAACAACGCATTTGAGAGAGGCGGGGCTTAGAGGACCTACAATAATGTACAGTATTTGAAAAATAATGTGTTTTTTGAACATTAAATCATGTCAACAAATTCTGTTATACCAAATACACAAAATAATGATCTTTAAAATAGCATCATATGACCCCTTTAAGAAATTAGCATTGTTAATTAGATTATTTAGCATTGTTAGTTACGACTGGATAAAACAGCCTCTAATAGTCAACAGTTTAATTTTGTAAAATGAGTCACATGTACTTTCCAGCTGCTCTCTGGAAAAACCCCAGTATCTGCGAAGGGATGTAAACCTTACCATACTTCAGACAATTCCCCCACTTCTTGTCTTGATCATAGTTTGCTGTGGTGGAGCACCAGTCCAGTGTCTTGTCTTCAGTGCCAGGCAGACAGTTGTGGTGCCAGGTTCCATTATAGAGAAAGGGGAACTCACAGGGTGCCCCGTTAGAATTCCCCCCGCTTGTGTGCATTCCTGAGAAAAAGGGGAAGAGGGGAATTGTTTGTTGGGTTTATGTAGCTAATCTGACAAAATCTCCCATCTGACACATCCTCAATGGAACAAATGACTCATAAATAAAAATAGAATAGGGTAATTTTAGTTTTAGAGTGAAGATAACCAGGACCATGGCTAAGAAAATGGAGAGATTGATAAATAAATGACAAAATCTCTCTCATCTCGCCCCATATATCTTCTTTAAAGCATCATTCACTAAAGAAGTTAACTGAATGCTCATGTATGTCTACTATACAATTCTACCTGACAAAAAATATAACAGAACTCTAGTCCTTTTTGGCTATACATTCACACAATCATTTATTAAAGAGAAATAAGAGTGTCCAGGATAAAGAAAAGGAACAATCGTTTAAAAATATTTTTTTGTTGTTGCAAAAATATAAATTATATCAAATTACATAAACATAAAAAATATAAAACTAAAAGTAAAAAAAAAAAGATACACCACCATTCTATAGTTTGGGGCAGTATGATTTTTTTTTTTGGAAAGAAATTCATATTTTTATTCAGCAAGGATGTATTAAATTGATCATTTTTGGCCTAATGGTTAGAGAGTCGGACTTGTAACCCAAAGATCGCAGGTTCGAGTCTCAATACCGGCAAGGATTGTAGGTGGAGTGGAGGGAGTGAATGTGCAGCGCTCTCTTCCACCTTCAACACGAGGAATGAGGTGAGACCCTTGAGCAAGGCACCGAACCCCCACCTGCTCCCAGGGTGCCACACACATGGCTGCCCACTGCTCTGGGTGTGTGTGTGTTCACTACCCACTGCTGTGTGTGTGCAGTTAGATGGGATAAATGCAGAGCACAAATTCTGAATATGGGACACCATACTTGGCTACACGTCAAATCACTTCATTTTCACTTTAAAAGAAAGTGACTATAAAGACATTCATAATGTTACAAAAAATTAAAACAGAATACAATTACTTTAAATTGTAATAATATTTCAAATTATTACAGTTTTTTCCGGTCAAATTAATGCAGCATTGGTGAGCAAAATCCTTTAAAAAAATAAAAAAACGTTTTGAATGACAACTTTTAAACTTTTTTATATTTTAGCTAAAAACGGGAACATATTAAAAGGTAAAAACAAAAAAAAATTATTTATCAGAAATGACAACCACATTCTGCAGCTGTGTGAATGTAGCCATGTAACAAAACAAAAAAAATCCCAAGCAACATTTTAAAAATGTTTTCCACCTGAGAATGTGCAAATTCACAGAGAAACTAATGTTAGTCAAAAGAAAAACAGAAAGTAATATCGCAAGTCGTTTACTGTCAGATATGAAGCAATCGTTGTGTAATTAACCTGTATGAGCAGGTGGAGTTTCCCATAAACTCCATTTTTGTATTGCTACAGTCACATAAAACAACAGCGAAACTCAAGGTTCTTCCTACAGGGCAGATCAACAGAAAGCAGATGAACTGGGTCTGTTAAACCACAGCAAAGCAACCACCATGCAATTGGTGCAAGTGCAACACAAAGTAAACCACACTACAACAAACACAGAAATGTGTGTGCAGAATGTAGCTTCTTCAAGTATCAGTGTAGTGACAGGAAATCTTCTTATTTTTGCATAAAATTATATATATATTCTAGGAAAATACCCTATATGCCTTCACTCCCAGAAGTTGTGTAGTGTCAGCCAATCAGATTAGAGCTTGCCAGGTCAAGAAAATACTTTTGTGAGCAGTAGGCGTCAACTTTTAGCAGACGCCTTTATCTAAAGGGAAGTATTATGAGGACAATAACCCTAGACGACCTTTCTCAAAGGTACATTGGTTAATGCATCACCTCTTCTGGGGTGTGAACCTATAACCATTCAGCCACCTGCCAAGAGTGTGATCCATTAGGCTACAGCACCTCTAAATAAGTATGTACAAAAGTGACAGTATCCTACTTCGATACGGCTGCTGACAGATGTTATCCGAGCTCCCTCCTCTTTTCCAAGTGTCCTGTCCGTCCCTCTTGGCAGAGACAGAGTTGTTAGTCCCAACGCTGAGTTTCATTTGGTATTCTGTGTAGATGATGTCCTCGTAGCACTTCCAGTGCAGAATCTCATTGGAGTCGCAGCTGAACAGGGTCACCCCTTTGGAGCGCACCTCCAGACCCAGACACATGGACGATTCTACGTGGAACAGCCTGTGGGCCGAACCCCACTTCCACGACACGGCCGGCACTGACAAACAGTCTCCCAACTTCAATGCTCCATCCTGGACCAGGAGGCACTTCCCATTGCTATTGTGCTGGATAGTAAACGTGTCATCTCCTGAATAAATATAAAATAGATTGTTATTTGATGCAGTTACATCCTGCATGAGATGATTATCTGAGAGAAGATGACAGTGGAGAGTATATGTAATGTGCTAAACCAAACATTTTATGTTTAGTTTTAGGTCTAATTCAGTCAACTACCATGTGCTTCTGATCACTGTTTTAACTAAATCAACAAAGATGATTAATCAGAATCAGAATGAGCTTTATTGCCAGGTATGTTTACACATACGAGGAATTTGTTTTCGTGACAGAAGCTTCCACAGTGTAACAGAATGACAGTGACAAAACAAAAAACACAGATAATAAAAAAAATTAAAAAAAAAAAAAAAAGTACGTACAAAAGTTAAGATCCAATTGTCCTTAGATGCCCTTTTACCAAGACATTTCGGGCACCACGTGAGGTATGCAAACTTTTAACCACATGCTTGCTTCAAAAAGATATAGATATATCAGCTTGTACAGCTGATTTATTTAAATGTTTATACAGCAGTGTGTTGTTGTTGAAGCAGCCTATGAGTGCATTTGAATAAATACTGGATTGATAACTGGTATTTCTCTCCTGCCAAAGTGAAGTTATTTTCCACAACGTCTGATATGGTGTCAAAGTTGTGTCATAATAGTGTCTGTACGCTCCTTAGCACTTTGCTGATTAGAACAACAGGCAGAAAACAAAGGGCTCTTTGAGTCAAGCAGTGCTCTGGTGAGGCTGGGCCGTCACTGCAGCCCCAACAAAACAAACACAACATCAACATTTCTCCGAAGAACATGGCTGTAGTTTTTTTGTTTGTTTATATGAAACATATTTAACAAGTGTGTATTTAACCACACACTAATGATTTATGCAAGCATAAACCTACAAAAGCAGTGTCCATGTTAAAAATAAATATTATATGCAGTAAATAAGTGCATCTAATATACTGTATATATATATATGTGTGTGTGTGTGTGTGACCCTGGACTACAAAACCAGTCATTAGGGACAAAAAAATTTTAAATTAAGATTTATACATCATCATGAATAAATCAGCTTTCCATTGACGTATGGGTTGTTATGATAGGACAATATTTGGCCGAGATACAACTATTTGAATATCTGGAATCTAAGGGAGCAAAAAAAAAAAATCTAAATATTGAGAAAATCGCCTTTAAAGTTGTCCAAATGAAGTTCTTAGCAATGCATATTACTAATCAAATGAAGTTTTAATATATTTACAGTAGGAAATGTACAAAACATCTTCATGGAACATGATCTTTACTTAATATCCTAATGATTTTTGGCATAAAAGAAAAACCTATAATTTTGACCCATACAATGTATTGACACAAAGTGTGAATTATGTATATCAACTTTATATAAATAATATAGCAAATCCTGAAAATATGTCAAACCTGAAAGCTTAAACGAAAAGCTATATAAAAACCGTTTGATGTAAAACACATTTTTTATTCCAAATATTGAATTTCTCAGAATACGTAATGAACTATATTTATATTTCATTTGTTTAAATGTGTATTTTAATACAGGATTTAACATGAATGAAATAATAATACAGTAAATACTGCAAATGCATATGATGCAGATATGGATTTGTTTAATCATTTGAGGGCTAATAGGCAAAAAATGGTGTAATGCTTGGCTGAAAGTCTCCCTCACCCACACCCACCCACCCACCCACCCACCCACACACCTAAATCAACTGCGCTTTCTCCGGAAAGTAGGAATATTATAGTGTAAAACAACTGCTGTGTGCTCCAATCCATTATCAAAACTGTAAACAACACCTCCTGACTGCAGTCATGTATTTTCAGACTAAGTTACATATGCTTGTGCAGGCCGGGTTTGTGCTCTCACGCTGTAAGCGGCAGAAAATCCCCCTCGGTGATGATGTTTGCCTCACTACTTCTGAATCATTTCTGTTTCTGTTTATTTCTACACGGATGGGCGGCTGTGGTTGGGAACTGCGCTTTCTCCGGAAAGTAGGAATATTATAGTGTAAAACAACTGCTGTGTGCTCCAATCCATTATCAAAACTGTAAACAACACCTCCTGACTGCAGTCATGTATTTTCAGACTAAGTTACATATGCTTGTGCAGGCCGAGTTTGTGCTCTCACGCTGTAAGCGGCAGAAAATCCCCCTCGGTGATGATGTTTGCCTCACTACTTCTGAATCATTTCTGTTTCTGTTTATTTCTACACGGATGGGCGGCTGTGGTTGGCCAGCTGTCACGCGCGTCGTAGCGCATAGCCACGCCCTATAATGCAGTGCAGTTGATCGTGACATTTTTTTTGTGTGTGGAGATACAGTCTATGGTGGAGAGTCAGTAAAGAGAGGTTTAAAATAATTAATATTCAATTATTTAATTTACTTTAATGTATTATTATTATGTAAGTGTGTTTGATTATAGAATCGCTGCGTATTTTCTCTGCTTAAAAGTCACGATCAGTTCGACTTATTTGACTAAAGATGGGTTTTACAGAGGTTTTAATCATTTATTTTAAATCGTGGATCAGGTGAAACATATTGAAAATACATTTGGCCACATTAAACTGATCAAGTGTTCTTGAAAAGAAGAGAAAAAAAACCTCACAAAACAAACAGTGACAATTATACCTTATACTGAAAAACTGCTAAACATTACCAAAAAGAGCAAAATGTAAACTGTGACACACAATAACACTATGCAGACCCTTTAAACACAATCATACATATGGAAAAACACACAAATCCACAGTTTTACAGTAATATAAAAGTTCAGAATTGAAAGAAGCTACTGTATTTTAGAATGTAACTGCTTATCAAAATGTATTACCAATACATGAAATCTGTTTCAGCAAAACAATGAAGCCTTGATTGTCTTGCAACATAGTTCTCCCTACCACAATCACACTCTTTACCACAACAGAATTACTAAATATACAAGGCGGTTTAATATGCATGGCTTATTAGGAAGTACAGAGGGGATTTCTGAAACTTGAATGTAGTCGTTGTGTGTGCCCTTATTCCCAAAAATGTAGAGAAACACTAGATGATTAAAAACAATGTTCTTCATTCACATGTTTGCAATAGAATAAATTCTTAAATGAAGCATTAATAATTTCCATTAGACAATGCTAAAAGACAGAGAAGCAAACACAGCTGCAATAAAGAGGAAGTTTTTTAACGTAGATTATTTTTTAAACCACGGAATAAGAATTTGAAGTGCATCTGTGGCCTTTATTACAACAACACGGCTCCTGTGATCTGGGAGCTGTGCAAAAGTAAGGTGCACATAAAGAACAAACATGTAATGCACACACACTTCTGATCAAACCAGTTTCATATTTCAAAGGAGAGAAAATAATACTAAAATAAGGTTGTAACACTGATAACACCACCAAAGGTGCAAGGTAAACGTTTACTCATGACCAAGCTGTTCTGCTTTGCTTTGGTGTGCAGTGGCTTATTTTGGATATGTGGACTCTTTTTGATAGTAGTTTATTGTTTTAATTAGAACAAACTACTTTTAAGAACAGGCATCCTGCTGAAGATTAATTATTTGAAGACTTCAAAAAAGCAGTTCGCCCTGGATAGAAGGATCATAGAGATCCAAAAGTTGCATTTTTGAATAGTTGCAAATGTTAAAAAGTAACACTTAAAAGTCAACAAGAAATGACACCCACAACCCCTTTTACTTTCGTAATGTGATGGATGTTTCGAAATGTTACCCATTATTAAAAGTGTCTGCTTCGTACAACAGTTTGCAGTCAATTGTGAATGACTCGTCCCCTCTTCACACACTGCCAGACAACCATTGGTTAAAATATAAGTGGCCTTGGTGATGTCATCAGAAAGGAAATTTGTTTCAGAAATGGAGCAAGTTGTTATATTTTGATAAAAGATTACAAAGATTTTTTTTTGTTTTTTGTTTAACAAGATCGTGCCCATTAAGACTAGGAATTCATTTGTTTTGTTATATCTCCTTTTCAAAATACTATTTGTAACTTTTAATGAGGATAAAAATACTGAGTGCACCTTTAAGAAAGTAAATAGGGTCAATTTTGATTTCATGTTGACTTTAAAGGCCTGTTCACAAAAAGACGAATGTTTGATGCTAAAAATTTGTGCGATAAACTGATGGAACTTTTTTTTACAGAGAGGAGTTCTAATCTCGTTGCCATCGCAGAGCAAAGAAAACTAGACAACCAATAAGAGTCACACTTTTGGTTATGTGCCCAAACATGCTGCCGTTACATAAAACTACGACTTGGTGGCATATTTTGATAAGTGACAATAAACAACAGAGGAACAATCTGGAACTAGCCTTTTTTCTTCTTCATGACAAGCGGGTGTCAGAAAATGAAATTGCAGTGTCATTCAAACTGTCCAATGTTTTTTTTTGTTTTACACATTTTCATGATATACATTTGTTTTAGTGTAAACAGGCCTCAACACCTTAACAATATTAAACCACACTCAACAAACAAGCCATTTGGCCCATTTTAACTTTTACATCCAAGAGGAATTCTGTTGTTGTCCTGAATATAAGACAAAGTGAAAAAGATCCACTTCTCACTTCATAAAGGATATCCCTTTCATAATGCGTTTAAATGGTCTGTCTTGGGGCTTTATAAGATCTGTATGTGCACAGTATCCTCCTATAGCTACAGTACGGACAGACAACTCGACTATCCTCATCATTCCTTCTGCAGTTTCCCTGACTGAATGAACACACTCTCACTCAAAACACAAATGGAAACATGCACCTATACGCTCACACAAACACATACTAGTCCCCTGCTTGTGTCTCTAGGTCTGGGAGTAAAACATTTTCATCTTGGTCGTTTCCTTGGGATCTTGTCTGTCTGTAATAGGCGCTGCCAAACGTTGGAAGCCTTAGGATGCACAGAGAGTTTCTCTTGTAAAGGAGCCACAATGATCCGATCACCACAGCAAACAGCACAATGGCCACCAACGCAGCTGCTGAGATCACACCTTGGTGTAGACCTGGAAAGAAACTTGCACGGTTGAGTTTCAGTACATGATGAAAGCTTTCAAGTTCAGCCCTTGTAAAATATTTTGTAACATGATTTCTTATCAGTTTTCAAATGACGCCTGACTACATTGTCACTGTAGACAAATTACAAAGTCTGCTGAGTACACTCAATTTTGAGGAACTGGGAGTAGTTCGCATTGGGAAAAAAGAGATGCATAAAAAGTTGCCAATTCCTCAAAAGTATGATTCACAACATTTTGTTTTGTTACTTGAAAAAATTATATTAAAAAAAAATATTCTAACCTTTCAATGGCTCCACTTCTACCTCTTTGATGGCACCTGTGATGCAAAGCAAAACATCTGAATAAAAATCCGAGCAACTACACGGCGGAAGTATTAACTGATCAAATGTTGTCCTCAGCCACGGCTCTCAAAACCACAGAAGAAAGTAAGTCATAAGACTGGGTGAGTAAGTGATGACCTTTGCATCTGTGTAAACTATTCCTCTAACAGATACTTTGTTTTGCCATTTGTGAGTCCGTGCACAAATGATACAGAACATTTACTGCAACAAAGAAATGTTGCCACTCTAAGGTCAACAGTGATTTTCTGGTATTGTTACCGCAGTAAATATCAGAGGATCGGGACTGTACTGAGCCTCCGCTGGTGGTTTGTGCTCATGAGGTTGAAAACCATGCCTTTTACCTGTTGAGGTTTTGCAGATAAAGCCCAGTTTCTCAGTGCAGTCGGCTAACTGCCACACAGCATCTGAAACCCGCATGGTCACACATGAATCAGCCCTCATGTCACCGGCATCTGGAGCTTTGGAACGCCAGTTAGTGTAATGGAGCGGTGAGCCATCCAGTCGAGTCAAAGCATCAGCTAAAATAAGCAGTTTGGTTAATTGTCTCAAACAACATCAATTTCATTTTTAACATACAACTTTTAATAAATATTGCATAACATAAATAAAATAATCAATATATTACATATATTATAAAGATAAAAAGACCGATAGATAGATAATATAAATAAAATAATATACTATATATATAGTATATAAAGAGAGAAGACGGTTAGATAGATAAATAGAGGTATACAGTGGGTATAGAAAAGAATCACCCTCTTTAAAATAATCACATTTTGTTGTTTTGCAGCATGAAATGAAGGCGGACACAGATTTTGTTTCATCCAGCTGTACTTACTTAGTGCAACGTATAACATCCAAGTGAAAGATATAACACCATGTCAGAAAAAAAAACCAGAATCACTGAGTTGGAAAAAGGATCACCCCCCTTCTGTCAGTATTTTGCTTTATAATTTTTTGCAGTATACACCTTTTGCTTTAATTACAGCCTTTAGTCTGTTGGGATTTGTCTCTGTCTCTAACTTTGCACTTCTAGATTTTGCAATATCTGCCCACTCTTCTTTGCAGAACTGCTCGTGTTCGGTTCAATTTGATGGTGACTGTTTGTGGACAGCAGTCTTCAAGTCATTCTACAGATTTTCAATGGGGTTTAAGTCTGGACTCTGGCTAGGTCATGCAAGGACATTCACTTTTTTCTGCTTCAACCACTGTGTGGTCAGTTTTGCTGTGTGCTTTGGGTCATTGTCATGTTGGAAGGTAAACCTTCTTCCCATTTAAAACTTTCTGGCAGAGGGCAGCAGATTTTCCTTAAGAATTTGACTGTTTTTTGCCCCATCCATTTTTCCTTCTATCCTGACAAATGCTCTGCTGCAGAGAAAACACCCCATAACAGGATATTACCACCGCCATGCTTTACTGTAGGAATGCTGTTATTTGGATGGTGAGCTGTATTGGATTATCGTTTGGTGTCGAGGCCAAATAATTCAATTTTAGTCTCATCTGCCTCAGAATCTTCGAGGTGAGTTTTGTCAAAGCTCAGTTGTGACTGCATGTGG